CAACAGATACAACTGGCTTTTAAAATTATCTTTTCAGTAGAGTATTCTTGGCTAAATCACCTGTGAAGAAGTGGAAAATACAATCTACCTAATGTACCTAGACTGAAAATTATTTATATTTGTGCTTAATTATAATGTTCCAATTTTTCTTATACTCAGCTACGATAGAAAACATTAAAAGTATTCCTATTAAGAAGACAATGCCTTTTTTTTTTTTTCAAAAGAGCGCCTTTCTTTTGTAGGTTAACTCTGAAGCTTTTATTCTACTCCTATTTAATGGAAAACTCCTCCATTCATCTGAAGCTGAAATTCAGTATGTCCAAATTAGCACTTCAGGCTGAATAAAGAGCAACACAAGGCTACCAATAGGCTGATTCTATATGTCCTTACATTAAATCCAATTGCAAAATTCTACATTTATTTGAAAAAAGCTTCTCAGCTTTGTTTCTTAGAAGTGGATTACTGACTGGAAAGCAAGACTTATTAATTCTTTTGTGAATACATATATTATTTTTCTTTAGGACATACCTAAACATTTGCAACTACACAGGACTACATTGAGCTGGCTGAGAATATTTTGTCTCATTTGGTTAAGAGGAAATTATTTATGAGTCTTTTCTTCTGTGTTTTAAAGAAAAAATTAAAACATTCATTAAGATGCTGCAACTATGTTTAGTGTATTTGCTCTGTTCACCCACGTTAGAGGCAAAACTCACTTCTAAACCAAAAAGTGGAAAATAATATTTGAGAGTCAATGGCCTTAATGACCAAATTTGAACTATTGGAAACTGTCATTGCTTTGAGTCTATTTCTTAATTCAGATTCTTAATGTCTGTATAACAGCATAAAGCTAACTTATGCTATGTCTTAATTTTCCCTGAAATAAAAAAAAAAAGAGCTTTCCACTGCTAAGTACAGCTGATAAAAAGTAATTTAAGCTGTGGTACCCAAATTTTATCTCTAAGGTTCTAGTTTGCAATGTTCTTATATGTTCCTATAAAAAAAAATCTAAATGGAACTACACTGTCCAAATATGATCCTTTTTATGATGATTTGGGAATTACATTTTAGATTATAAACATAATATTGGTACTAATATTCTCCTTCTGAACCAAAAGATTTATAGCTTATTTTCAGACTTTAGCTTGGCCCTAAAGGAATATAACTTATGTGATTCAATACTTCAGCGAATGATAGCGGCCAAATTTTAAGTGGGCCCTACTCTGTAGTGCAAACCTTATCTGCTGAAGTGTCAAGATGATTTGTGTGGGTCCTTCTTTATGCTAATTCTTTAATTTTTGCCCTCTTACCATATATATACTATATTCTTTGTTACCATAAACAAGTTTTACTTAGAGGCAGAGATATTTTTGTAGAGTGAATCCTATCTACTCTAGTCCTATATCCTGTATAAATAAATCTAAGGCTTTCCTATCAGCAATGAATAATTTTATAACATTTTCACTCAGATGATTACAACTGGCAAAATTCTCTCCTTCAAGAGGGGAGGAGGAAAAATATTTAACTTGCCTCCACTCTAAGCTGTACAGGATTTTATTAGGTAATGCCATGCCCCGTTAGCGTCCTTCCCACACTGATCATCTTGCAAATACATGTTTGACTATGGATAGTGAGATCAGTATATTTGCACAGCCAAAACCTAAAATAAGAGCTTAGGCACTCTTTACATAGTTCATGGAAAGAACAAGACAATATAGAACACCTACCTTAAAATACTGCTGTTCTCCCTTAGTTATACCAGAAGCCTAATTTTCTCATTGTGGCACTAAATCGTTTATTTTGGAAAGACAAACTCAGTACAAATCTTTTGTTCAGTTGTTTTTTTTTAAATCATGGTTTCACTGGATTTGATATCTAAAATTTTATTTAGTCTATCACTGGTTTCCTTTCTCTCTTCTCCTCTGTGTAGACTATTAAGTTCAGCAAAGAAACTGGAAAAGTGGATGCAGAATTGCTTCACAAAATTGCTGAATTTATAAACCATAATCAGTTTTACATTTCCTTTCTGCCTTTCACTGCCTTTCTGGTGTCTTATTGCTCTTTCATATTCCATTCTGTTTCATGGATTACTCAACAGCGATATTAGAGTCACTATTATTTTAAATAATAATTTTGCATCTCACAGTCTGCCCTTTCTTTTTTGTAGTTAAGCATGACTTATCGCAAACACTACCATTACCAGAGCTTTCCCTCATCTTTCAATGGCAGCTTTGAAACTGCCTAACATATGACTTCCTACGCTATGTACTTTCACTACAAGACCTGACAGTTTTTATTTCCTCATTTCTACATATATTAACTTATATATACATCGATCTGTTGAAGATTATATGAAGACAGGATAAAGTGAATTGTATTACCTGGTTGTGACTTTAGTTACAATGGGCTACATCTGAAAATTTTTGCTATGTCAACAAAAGACATTCATGAAAAGGATGGGTGCTTACTTCTAATCCTGTATCCAAACCAATTCAAACTGCTCTAGCATTATCACTACATGGATATAACATAGCACACAGTTTAGAAAACTAACAAAAAAGATTTATTACTTCAGACTAATTTCTCATTACAAAGGGCATTACTAAACTAATAACTTTATGAGATAGTTAGAAAAAAGTTGCAATAAAAAAGGCAATTAAATTCTATTAACTAAGCTTCTCAGGAAGAATATATCATGATTCTTACACAATTCCAAATAGAGAGCACATCTCTAATGCTTCCCAAACAACTGCATTTAATCACCTCAGTTTATGTTTCTTTCCTCATTTTACGTTTCTTTTCTCATTTTACATATTGTTTACAAAAAGCTAGAATTTCTTCAACAGAAAAATTCAAAAGTGATTCCACAGAAAACAAAAAAAACCCCTCAGTGGTCAAATGCCTTATCTGTTCCTTTTTTTTCCTATAGAAAGTGTACCAGTTTTTCTCATCATAACCTCAACTGTCCTCGACTTAAATTATAATGGTATTTTTTAAATCTATTGACCAAAAGCATCTGTAAAATGATTGGTCCAAAGTTATTTTTTTTAACTGATTGTCAAGGGTATTTGATCACGGATCTATCTCTTTTGTCACTGGGAAAAGTTTTTTCTCTATCAAGAATTCCATAATGTTTTAATAATGCTTTCCTGTGTTATAGCTGAAGTTATTGTATTTTTACTACCCTTGGGAACAGTACTGAAACTAATAACAGATTCTGTAAAATTCTGGAACACTGGTAAAAGAGATATTACATGTATTTCTGCATGTAATTTATATATTTTCTCATGTACTTTCTAATTTATAATGAAATTTAAACTTAGGAAACAATTCTAAATCACAGAGCTATTTAGTGTCATGATGCCATCTGATATAGATTCCCATCACTATTTTATATGTGAAGACTTGTTTAACAGCAGCAGTATGTATGCATTACAAGTGTCCAATGCTGTGACTGGAGGGGCAGGAAAGCATGTTCATTTTGTGCAATATTGACCCAACAGTACATTAAAGGACTTGCTGCTAGTTGTAACTCAGGGGAATGGACAAGATAACATAGCCTGTTGTGTGAGTCGACACAGGCAGGCAGCCAAAATAACCACAAAACCACAGCTGAAATGCAAAGAGTAAAGCTATTTAATTTCCTCGCTAACCAGATGACCCCAAAGTAACACCCAGGCAGAGACACACCAGTGAGAATACAGGCACTGTCAGGCTCAGACTATCCTGGTGGGCAGCCAGCCTGCTGTTGGCACCACTTTATCAAGGATATGCACACACGTAGTTTACCACCGTGTTGTGATCTCCCCTGTGCTTTTTATAATCTCTGAGCTTTGATCTCTCTCCCAAAAGAAGGAGCTCAAGTATGTCCATGAGAGTGCCTCCAAGTCTCCCCAAACAACTACGTTATCTCTACACATAAATTCTACTTCTCAAAACAGAGGATAAACAGCACTAGGCATGATATATGGGGTTTCCCCAACTGTTATTCTCCAGGCCTTGGCATTCCCAGTTGCAAGGTCACCTGAGCAAATCTACCATCCTTGTCACCATTCATCCTCTTTTTACCCTTTCCTCCCAACACTTCTTTCCCATTTCTACTTTTCATCATGTTGTAATAACTCTATCACACCAAGTGATTTTAGTAGAACAGATAATGAGCAGTTCAGTTTTCCATACCTTATAAATTTATATTCTGGTGGGTATTCCGGTATACGTAGTATGACTTACAGATTCTAAACTCCTTTATTTGAGCATGAAAATCTCATCGCTATACAGTTAAGAATAAAAAGAATATTTCTGAAACATCACAAAATTAATTATGTAATTGAATAAACTAGAGCTTTTTTCCTACCATATATGAGATATATAACAGAAAGACTCTTTTTTTTTCAAGGAAGCAGCAGAACTGTATTTTATTTAATTTAAAAAAACAATAGGGAAGAGGAATACAGTGTGGTTTGATTAATGATGACAATGGCATGGATAATACTATTATAAAATCAAACCAAAACAAAACCCAACTTATCTGAAAACACTTGAGGAAAAAATATCCTTTCAGTCGTGATGAAGCTATTGCTATAAATACTTTGTAAAGCACATCAGTCCCTCATTGACACAGTCTTTATAACCTTCATATCCTATCATAATAGATAAATGTAAACACATAATTCTGATTAAAAATAGCCCTTGACTGCTTGAAAAATTAAAAATGCCCTTTTTCAAAATCAATGCATACAGATCTGAATTTTCTCACTAATTTATGTAAGTTTCAGAGTCCCTCTGCCATTTATTTGTTGGTTTGGGGTTTCTTTTTCCAGTATTATTTTGTCAAATAATAAAAATTTACTTTAACCTTCAATATACATAGTGATCTAACAAGAAGTTATTATTACTGGTCAGAATGCTACGACAGCTTAAGTGTACTGAGTTTTCAGTTTTTCACTGCAAATTATATAACTGAAAACTGAGGCATCATTTAAAAATAATGTTTTTCTTACCTAAGCCATGCCTATGTGTTGACATAGGTGGTAACACAGTCCAAGCCTTGGTCTTTGGATTGTAACATTCAACAGTGTTTAATGTCTTTAAGCCATCCCGGCCTCCAATGACAAACAGCTTGTCATCGATGACAGCAACACCAAACTGAAGCCTCCTGCCATTCATTACTCCAGCCTGAATCCATATATTTGTTCTGAGATCATACTTTTCAATAGTTGTAGCACCTGATGAGATAGAATAATAATAATAATAGAATTATGTATAAAAATGTATTTAAAAAGGTAATGTTTCTCTTTTTATTCTCTTTTTATTCCCTAAAAGTGTTAAAACTTTGATAATATTTTCTGATTAGACGAACATCTTGAACTTTTTTTTTTTTAAATAAAGTAGTCCCTCAAATATGTGCATGTGTGTGATGGATTACCTTTCTTACCTCTTCAAGTAGCATGAAAACAAAGAAAATCTAAATGGCCGCTATAGAAACAAAATATTACAACTTCAAATAACACTGTGCTCTAACTTTATGATTTTTTAAAGTTCAGTGAAATAACTATATAAAATACTAATCTTTTTACACTTGATTCCAATCTTCCATACAATGTATATTGTCATCTAAGATTAGAAGTTGTATTTTAATTTGCATTCATGTTTTTGTTCTTATTTTAGATACTTGTGTAGGGTTTCTTTCAGACATGCTTCTGCTGGAAGTAGAGAATGCTATACTTACAATCTGAAGCAAAATATTTCAAGAATGTTTCCATATCCAGTCAAAACTACTTCCTTCTGAGTTTAGTAATTTGAATTCCTTTCAAAGATTAATTAAAAAACTATAAAGACCATTATGTGTAATATAACTTACCATTTAGTAATGAAAATGTCATTAAGAAGCCTCCACTGTTTAAACTAACTCGCACGTAATATGCAAGATATCACAACGATGTTATAAGAAATGAAGAGTTTATTAACAAAAAAAGAGGGATAAAGGAAGCATAATTAACTTAACTAGATTCCAGAATGTCAGTCATGCATTCCATTTATTGTAGTATGACAGCAGAAAAATTTAAAACAGAACTACAAATATCTAAATAATAGATGAATTTAAATTAATCCTTAAGAGGGTGACTTGATAATACATCTGAAATGTAACTGGTGTTTTATCTTAATGGTACACATAATGGTGCTTCCAAAGCTTAAATATCCTACAGAAAAAAATCAACATAATTACTAAGCTTTACCAACTAGCTATTTGGATTATAATAAAAGGTTAGAATTCCATGGGAATTAATTATTTCAGGATTCATTCATTCTTTGGAACAAAAGAGCAATGAACTGAGTGCAAACAAACATCATGAAAGCAATAGCTTTGTTAATTGAACTAAAAAAGACATAATTTAAATTCAATTAGTATCTAAGTGTAGCAGAGCAGCAATAATGTACAATACAACAAAACAACTGGATTAAATCCCCTTCTAGTTTTATGAAGCCGTAAGATATATGAAGTAAATTTTGCATTTGATTCAAAGAGACATATTTCTCTTTTTGACTCTAGTTTAAAATTGAGTTGTAAATGCATAAATCCTCATGTTTGAAAGAACAAAGTATACAGATTATTTGATACAGGTTTTTGGTGGTGCTGCAGGGCATATTATAATGATGCATATTAATAAAATTGTACTGCTAGAAATTTTTTATATGTGGATAAATTCATGCTAAAAGTTAGAACTGTAGCACATGAGTTCTGTAATATTGTCTTTCATTCATGGCTAGGCTTTGCGAATGAAGATTTGGGAAGGGCTCTACCCACGTTTGTTGCAAGCGCGCTGGTGGTTAAAAAGGCCAATGCGAGATAGGCACGTCCATTTGCAGAAGGCACAGCAGAAAGACTCCCCAGGTGGTATATTCTGCAAGGCATGATTCTTTCTGTGTTGTCTTTTCTCCTCAAGAGTGATTCTGCCTGCTTTCTCAAAAGCATCAGCAGCGTTATAGATGGTGTGTCTCCAGACCTCCCGGTTGGAGGCCAGAGTAGACCAGTTATGTTGACCAATATGGCCAAGGCTGAGATGTTGTTTCAGGGAGTCCTTGTATCTTTTCTTCGGGGCTCCTCTCATGCGGCAGCCGGTGGCAAGTTCACCATAAAGCAAGAAATACTGTCTACTTCAATGGTAAAGAGTACAGTTTAAAAGCTTTGCCATTCTGATTTCAGAAATAGTGCTTACATAACAAATAGAGTCTTTGAATTATGCTCAGCTATATATTTTCTAATATTGGCTGAGTTGCCACAATATTTTCTTAAATTACATATTGAGCATCTAATCAAGGAGTTTCTGGAGTGCTTGAACTCTGTTTATCCAATAAGGTGCCTTGCTAATCTGTAACGACGATAAGGATGTGGATGATACAATAACAATAACAGCAACAATAATAATAACAAAAACAACAATGCAAAGTGAAATAGGTTTCAGTCCTATAAAATCATCTTTAGTGTCAGGAACACGAATATAATACATTCTAGACTGCATTTCAGACAAAAAAAAAAATCTCTTAAATTACCATAGTCCTTAGATAAAATCAGCTAAAAGAATATAGCTCTATTGTTGATGGGCATAAAAGCATAGTTTGTCTTTTTTTGGTTGAATTCTATTTCATGCAGGCCAGTCAGTTCTGTCTCAGCACAGGTATGCCCATAGACTCTCTATGGATGCCAAGATCACATGAAGAAGAAGGTGGAAGTGACATCTTTATAACACTATTTGATGACAGTTCCTATAGGAAGAACTCTAGGCCTTAGAATTTCCTATCATTTGTCACTATAGCTTTTTAGTATCTGTCATCATTCTAGTCAGGCCAGCTGCCTAATTTCACACCAGTCTTCCATTCTCCAGACTTTTTTCAAAAAACACTGAGCCAAGTTAAAAATCTCATCACCCATGACTCTCAGCATGGGTGATCAGCCTGCAACTTGTAAAATGAGTAAAATTTCATCTCAACTAATCCACCAGCTGAAACTCTACACAAAAGAGCCTCAATATTAAACAGCTATGTAGAAAACATCTACAGTCTCTCCCCTGTTCCTGCAGCAAATGGAGAAGCAGATGTAACCTCTGCTTATAGCCCCAACCACAAAATGAACCAACATCTATTCTGTTGCTACATCAGTCCTGTCATGGAGCAGTCTCAGTATACAGCTGGATATGAGCCTGCCTAAACAAACAAATACAAACAAATTTTTAAAAACGGTGCTATGTCCTCATCAGGAAGACAGTCAAACAAATTGAACAGTTCATCCATAGACATTGGGCTTCATCCTTCAAGGCTTTCAAGACCCAAATGAGTATGGTTTGATCTCATAGCTGACCCTGCTTTGAGAAGCAAGTTGGACTAGAGACCTCATGAAGCCCTTTGCAATCTGATTGCGTGATCTGGGGTGGAGATTGTAGCCATCAGTTTCTTTTCCTAGGCATGATCCGTTCAAAACTTTCAACAAGATAAAACCTCATATATGAAACACTTTCACTTAAGATAGTGAATCAAATACTATATGAATAAAAGACCGTTGCAATCCTCTCCATTTCCTGCTATGTCCCATATTTATTTGAATTTCTTGTTATTTATATATTATTTATATGAACAACTATCCAGGAAAAAATATACATATTTATGAACTAAAATCTTAACAATTCCTGCCAGCTTTCACTCCCAGCTACATGAAGTCCTCTGTTTAAATTGAAGGGAGGAAAATTTACCCCACATATCAGACATCAGTACTGTTTTTAATGCGCTTTCTCCAATTTAATAGATTCTAAGAACACAAAAATATAGTTTTTAAATTAGCATTAAGATATTCCTAATTTAATTCATAGTATTGCATTTGGTTTAATGACATTCAGATAATTCCTTCTGATTAGGTACTTGTAATGGAAAAAAAACCAAACCAACAAATATGTAATTGAACAAAAAAACTTGTCTTGTCTTAGTGCTGTTCTGTTTTAAAATATTTTGATTGCAATGGCTCTGCTGGAGTTAAATTTAAACAGGAAAAATCTTTCAACAAAAAGGTGGTGGAACCGCTGAAAGATATCACATCAACAGAGATTTTAGGATAACTTTAATTGCAGATTATTGAGAACTTCTTCATTCACATACAAATGGACAAGTAATAGGACAACTTAGATTATAAAAGGGAATAAACTTCTACCTAGGAAGAAAATAGGGTATTTCTGACAAAGTAACAGATTCTTTTGTTTAGCTCAACTGTTTTGATCTTGCAAGTAAAAGGATATTCTGCACCTAGAATAGGAGGTAAAACCTTGATTAATTCCAACGGGATTATAATAGACAAATTAGTTTAGCTCTTTAAGAATCGGGTCCTTTGGATATATAAAATCAATAACATATTAGAATATTGATTTTTCATTTATCATATATTTTATGGTTTGAATATATTTGAATATAATACTTTCAGAAACAAAGTATCCTTACATTTCCAAATGTTGACATCACAAATATTAAAACTAATTTATTTGCTCTGAAAAAAATAAAAGCAGAAGCTCTGAATTATCCAGGGGTGGGTGAACCAAAGACAGCACAGTCAGCTGATCAAAAGAAATGATAACCCACTGTATTCATCACTGGTGTGGTCTCATGTGAAGTACTGTGTGTAGTTCTGGGCCCCACAACTTCAGAAGGATGTGGAGTTCCTTGAATGCATCCAGAGAAGGGCAGAAAAGCCAGTGAAAGGGCTGTAAGGAATGTCCTGTGAGAAGAGGCTGAGGTCTTTAGGGGTTGTCTAATTTGGAAAAGGAGGTTGAGAGGTTAATTCATTGTTCTCTACAGCTTCCTGAGGAGTTGAAGTGGAGAGGGAGGTGCATAGCTTTTCTTCCCAGTATCCACTGTTAGGACATATAGAAATGGACCAAAGCTGCACCAAGGAGTCTAAGTGGATCATAGAATCACATCCAACCAGTAACCCAGCACTGCCAAGTCAACCACTAAACCATATCCCCAAGTGCCACTTTTAAATACTTCTAGGGATGGGGAGTCTGTCACTTCCCTGGGCAATTCCACTGCCCGATAACATCTTCAGTGAAGAAGCTTTTCCTCATATCCAATCTAAACCTCTTCTAGTGAGAACATTTCCTGTCACTTGTTACTTGACAGGAGAGATTGACACCCACCTTGCTACAACCTCTTTTCACATAGTTGAGGGTCCCCCCTGAGCCTCCTT